CTACCAGCGGCTCCAGTGCTGTGACCTGCCAGTACCAGCTTCAGACCGGGCCTCTCCGCGGCACTCTGTGCCGCCGCCCGCACCCGACCGCCCACTGTTTCCGCCGCCTCGACGATCTTTTTCGTCGTCGCTTTGGCCCGGCCCCGGACCTCCCTGACTGGCACAGCCTGCTCCGCCAGGGCGTGCCGATCTTTGAGTTAGACATGGATCAGATAGGTGCTGCTTTGCATGCTTTGTATGCTGACGCTTCTAGTGTTGATGGATCTTACTACCATGTGTACTCTAGTTTAGGTGTTTCACCCTTGTGTAGCTTAGCTTCCCCTGCTGCGACAGGCGTAGGACTGCCTAGGTTGCCTAGTCTAGTCGCTGCACCGGCTCCGTCCGCGGCCTCCGCCACTGCGTCGCTGTCCTTCACTCTCGACTCTGGTGCTTCTGCCTGCTTCTTCCGCGACCGTTCCACGCTCACGCCGCTTGCTGCACCTGCTGTTGTCTCTCTCGCTGACCCCTCTGCGGGTCCGGTCGTCGCGCGCAGTTCTACGTCCCTTCCCTGTCCGGCAGTTCCCTCGGGCTCCCTTACTGGCCTCCACGTTCCCTCGTTCTCCAGGAACCTGGTTGGTGTCGGCTGTCTCCAGGACCTCGGCGTCACCACCACGTTCCCCGGGCACGAGCGGTTCGCTGTCTGTTCTGAGGCTGTCTCAGGTTCCCCCCTTGCGACGTTCCCCCGGGACCCGGTGTCCGGTCTGTTTACCCTACACACCGCTTCCCCCCCGGTTGGTGCGTCCTCCCAGGTCGCTGCAGCTTGCTCGTGTCGGTCCCTCACTCACCCGTCCCTTCTCTGGCACCACCGCTTAGGTCACCCTGCTCTCCCGCGTCTGCGTCACATGTCCCAGCACGGTCTTGTCTTAGGTCTCCCCGCGTCGCTCCCTGCCCTTCCTCCCTCGACTGCGCCACCGTGCACGCCTTGCGTCGAGGGTCGGCTCCGCCGTGCTCCTCACTCCTCCTCGCTGCGTCCTGCTACTGCCCCCCTTCAGACCCTGCACTTGGACGTTTGGGGCCCTGCCCCCGTCCCCGGACCGCGCGGTGAGCGCTACTTCCTTGTGCTCGTTGACGACTACACGCGCTACACCACGGTGTTTCCCCTGGAGCGGAAGGCCGACGTGCCCGACGTTCTTCTCCCGTGGGTTGTAGCTGCGCGTCTCCACCGCGGTCTCCCCGTGTTGTGTCTCCACTCCGACCGTGGCGGCGAGTTCGCCTCTGGTCGGCTTGGACAGTTCTGTCGTGCGGAGGGCATCACCCAGTCGTACACCTTGCCGGACTCGCCACAGCAGAATGGGGTTGCTGAGCGCCGCATCGGCTTGGTCATGGAGGTCGCCCGTACCTCCATGATCCATGCCGATGCCCCCCATTTTCTGTGGCCGTTCGCTGTTCGCTACGCGGCTCACCAGCTTAACCTGTGGCCACGCTCCCAGCGGCCGCAGGTTTCGCCGACCCTCCTTTGGACCGGGTCCCCCGGTGACGCGTCTGCGTTCCACGTCTGGGGCTGCCTTGCTCACGTTCGTGCCTCTGGCACGGACAAGCTCACTGCCCGCACTGTCCCCTGTGTCTTCCTTGGTTTCCCCCTGGACTCGTCTGACTGGCTTTTCTACCACCCGCCGTCTCACCGCTTCCTCCACTCTCGTGACGTCACCTTTGACGAGTCCGTCTCCTTCTACCGCCGCTTCCCTCACCGAGGTCTCCCAGTTGCCCCCCCCCTTTTCCTTGCTCCCTCTCCCCCGGTAGCCCCTGCCCCTCTCCCGCCTCGTCCTGCCCCGTCTGGTGTCTCCCACGTCACTCCCCTCCCGTCGGTTGTCCCCGTTGAGGAGTCTGCTGACTCTGGTGGTACCCCCGGTCCGTCCTTGCCGCGTCCCCCTTCCCCAGTGCCTCCGCCCCCACTGTCGCAGTCGCCGACCCCGCTGCCGCCGCCGTCGCCGTCGCCGCCGCAGCCGTCGCCGCTGTCGCCACCACTGCCGCCGCTGCTCTCGGCCCCTGGGGGTGCTGGTGTGGAGGAGGGTGTTCGTCCTGCGGCTTCTGGGGGTGCCGCTGGTGTTGGAGGGGGTTCTCGCTCTTGGGGTGTTGGTTCTGGGGGTGGTGCTGTTGAGTGTTCTGCCGACGGTCGTTCTGCCTCTGCTGGTCCGAGAGTTCCGGCCCAGCCGTCGTCGCCGCCACAGCAGCCGTCGCCGCCGGTTTCCGCTCTCCGCCTGCTCGGCCTTCCCTCCCCGGACCGCGCGCCGGTGTCTCCCCCACCGCCTCCTGACCTCCCTGTCTACGGTCCTGTGTTCCCGCCGCCAGACTCGTCTCCGGCCCGTCTTCCTCCTCGTTCCCCTCCTGTGTCTCCTCCGCTGTCCCCTGACCCTACCCCTCCGTCTCACGTTTGGGCTCGCCGTCCCTCCCGTGCCCGTCCCGTCTCTCCTGTACTGCCCACCCACCCTATGTTGCTCCGTTCCCACTCGTCTCGTCCTCCCCTCCTCCCGTCCCCTCCTCCCTCGTCCCTTGCTGTTGCACCTCCTCCGTTCTCTGACTACCTCCGTGCTGCTCGTCCCCTTGTCCCTCGGGTCCTTGCCTCTCTTGTTACCGACCCTGCTGTTCCTGTCTCGCGCCTTGACGCGCTTGTCGCTGCTGTCGCTGACTTCGCTTCTACCCGCCGCCTTGACTACGCTACCGCTCTGGTCTCTGACCCTGCCCGTCCTCTGTCCGTCGGGGGTGCTCCTGCCCTTGGCAGTGACGTCCTAGAGGACAGGCAGTACGAGCTGGCTTTCCTTTCCGAGGCTGCTCCCCATCTCTGCTCCATGCTCCTAGTCCCTGAGGGTGACCCAGACGCCTTCGACATCCCGACCCCTCGCACCTACGCTGAGGCCACCTCGGGACCTTGGGCCTCTCAGTGGATAGCTGCCATGGAGCAGGAGATGGCGTCTTGGAGATCCACCGGCACTTACGTCGACGCAGTTCCCCCACCTGGGGTGAACGTAGTCGATGGTCGGTGGCTCTTCAAGGTGAAGCGCCCCCCTGGAGAGCCGCCTGTCTTCAAGGCGCGCTACGTGGCCAGAGGTTTCAGTCAGCGCGAGGGGGTTGACTTCTTCCAGACCTTCGCCCCGACCCTGAAGATGACCACTCTTCGGGCGCTGCTACACGTAGCAGCACAGCGTGACTACGAGCTTCACTCTCTCGACTTCTCTACTGCCTTTCTTCAGGGCAGCCTACACGAGCAGGTCTACCTGCGCCGACCACAGGGCTTCACTGGTACCTTCCCTCCTGGGACCCAGTGGCTTCTCAGGCGCCCGGTCTACGGCCTGCGTCAGGCTCCCCGCGAGTGGCACGACACGCTACGTGCCACGTTAGCAGACCTGCAGTTCTTTCCGTCCTCTGCTGACCCTTCACTGTTTGTGCGTTCCGGCCAGACTCCGTTCTACATCCTTGTCTACGTAGACGACCTGGTCTTCGCTACTCCTGACAGGGACGCACTGGCCTCTGTGAAGGCTGAGCTGCTGAAGAGACACACCTGCACTGACCTTGGAGAGCTGCGTCGCTATCTTGGCCTGCAGATCTCTAGGGACAGAGCAGCACGCACCATCACTCTGACCCAGTCACACTTGGTGCGTCAGGTCCTTCAGAGGTTCGGTCTTCAGTTCTCCTCCGCACAGCCCACACCTCTACCCGTAGACCATGGGCTCTCTGCTCCCGTTCCTGAGGAGCCAGTAGAGCCCAGTGGCCCCTACGCAGAGCTGGTGGGTTGCCTCATGTACCTGATGACTTGCACTCGCCCAGATCTCGCATACCCTCTCAGCATCCTGGCTCGCTTTGTGGCTACAGGCAGACACCGACCTCAGCACTGGTCTGCCGCTAAGAGGGTTTTGCGTTATCTTGCTAGTACATCAGGCATGGGGTTAGTGCTAGGAGGACGCAGGCCAGTGGTCCTTACTGGGCACACAGACGCTTCTTGGGCAGACGACGCTGAGACGCTCAGGTCGTCGCAGGGCTACTGTTTCAGCCTTGGTTCGGGTGCTATCTCTTGGAGATCCACTCGCTCGTCGTCTGTGGCTCAGTCTAGCTGTGAGGCTGAGATCTACGCTGGTGCCATGGCGGCACAGGAGCTCCGCTGGCTGACCTTCTTGCTCACAGACTTAGGTGAGCGGCCTAGCTCTGCCCCGGTCCTGTACGCTGACAACAGGGCCATGATACTCCTGTGTCAGGAGCCTCGGCTTGAGGGCAGAGCGAAGCATATCCAGCTGCGGTACTTCCTCCTGCGCGAGCTACAGCAGCGCCGCCAGGCCCGCGTAGTTCACTTGGCCTCAGGTGCCAACACAGCTGATATCTTTACTAAGGCGCTTGCGCCTAAAGATCATCAGCGGCACTGTGTACAGCTTGGTCTTGTTCCTATAGCTGCTCCCCTGTTAGGATCCTGATTGTGTACTCTCTATTATATATGCTTGTCAGACTGGCCTTGTGGCCTTACCTCCAGTGGCTGGACTAGTAGTGCCACCCTGGCTTGCTTCAGTTTTGGTTGTATTCTTGCTGACTGGTCTCCAGACCCCTGCCTCAGTGGTTGGACTAGTAGTGCCGCCCTGAGCTGTTTGCTTCTTGTTTAGTTTCACCCCTTGTCTAGCCTAGGGGGTGTGTCAACTTATACATATTATCTATGTAGAAGTTATAGGCTAGACTGAGGTATGCTTCTAGTGAGTACAACCAACTAGTATTTGTTCTAGGTTTCCACCTCTAGTAATCATTCGTTTCTACGTTCACAGTCGAGACCCCGGAGAGCAATGCCTCGCGAGGAGTCCTCGAGATTGGTATTTATGGGCTAGCTAGCTTGCTTATTTCTCTGTGGTCTGAAGAAGGCTCTCAAGCCGAAACCGGACACCATCAAATTTTCACAAGAGTTTTTTCTAGCAAGCTCTTGGCTAATTTTACTTAAGCGTTTTCAAAAGTTGCTGCCTCGTGAAGACCTATGGCACCCAAGTGGTGTTCACAAGAAATGGAGGGCATGATAGGTGCAGCAGCAGCATCTGGGTGCTGAGGGGGAAACGGGATGGGCAGAGTGTGCGCAAGAGAGGTGGGAGGGAAAGTTGCACCGAGGGCACTAAGGGAGGTAAGGCATGGCAGTACGAAACACAGAGGGAGATGGGGTATGGCAGTGGGAAAAACAGAGGGTGATAACGTATGGCAGAAGGAAACACTGAGGGGGACAAGGTATGGTGGTGGGAAACACAGTGGGAGATGGGGTATGGCTGTGGGAAACACAGAGGGAGATGAGGTATGGCAGTGGGAAAAACAGAGGGAGATGGGGTATGGCAGTGGGAAACACAGAGGGCGATGGTGTAGGACGGTGGGAAAAACAGAGGGAGATAAGGTATGGCGGTGGGAAACACAGAGGGAGATGGGGCATGGTAGTGGGAAACACTGAGGGAGAATAGGAATGGCAGTGGGAAAACACAGCCAGAAATAGGGAATGGCAGTAGGAAACACAAAGGGAGATCAGGGATGGCAGTGGGAAGTACCGAGGGAGATTTGGTATGGCAGTAGGCAACACAGAGTGAGCTAGTTGAGGGCAGTGGGAAGAACAGAGGGAGATCAGGTATGACAGTGGAAAACACAGAGGGAGGTTAGGTATGGCAGTGGGAAACACAGAAGGAAATAGGGTATGGCAGTAGGAAACACAAAGGGAGATCAGGTATGGCAGTAGGAAACACAAAGGGAGATCAGGTATGGCAGTGGGAAACACAGAGAGAGATTAGGTATGGCAGTAGGCAACACAGAGGGAGATAGTATAGGGCAGTGGAAAAAACAGAGGGAGATAATGTATGGCAGTGGGAAACACAGAGGGACATTCGGAATGGCAGTGGGAAATACAGAAGGAAATAGGGTATGGCAGTAGGAAACACAAAGGGAGATAAGGTATGGCAGTGCGAAGCACAGTGGGAGATTAGGTATGGCAGTAGGCAACACAGAGGGAGATAGTATAGGGCAGTGGAAAAAACAGAGGGAGATAATGTATGGCAGTGGGAAACACAGAGGGACATTCGGTATGGCAGTGGGAAAGACAGAAGGAAATAGGGTATGGCAGTAGGAAACACAAAGGGAGATAAGGTATGGCAGTGGGAAGCACAGATGGAGATTAGGAATGGCAGTAGGCAACACAGAGGGAGATAGTGTAGGGCAGTGGGAAGAACCGAGAGAGATCAGGTATGGCAGAGGGAAACACAGAGGGAGATTAGGTATGGCAGTGGGAAACACAGAGGGAGATTAGGTATGGCAGTAGGAAACACAGAGGGAGATAGTGTTTGGCACTGTGAAAAACAGAGGGAGATATGGTATGGTAGTGGGAAACACAGAGGGAGACTAGGTATGGCAGTGGGAAGCACAGACGGAAATAGGGTATGGCAGTAGGAAACACAGAGGGAGATAGTGTATGGCAGTGTGAAAAACATAGGGAGATATGGTATGGTAGTGGGAAACACAGAGGGAGACTGGGTATGGCAGTGGGAAACACATAGGGAGACTAGGTATGGCAGTGTAGGGGCGCAAGGGGCCGGTAGGGGCACGACGGGGCCGGCTAGGGGCGCGACAGGGCCGTAGGAGCGTGACGGGGCCAGAAGGGGCGCGACGGGGCCGGCTAGCTAGGGGCGCGACAGGGCCGTAGGGGCGCGACGGGGTCTTAGGGGCGCAACGGGGCCTGCTAGGGGCGGGACAGGGCCGTAGGGACGCGACGGGACCGTAGGGGCGCGACGGGGCCTGCTAGGGGCGCGACGGGGCCGTAGGGGCGCGCGGGGCCAGCTAGGGGCGCGAGGGTCCGGTAGGTGGCGGCACGGGGCGGAAGTGGGTGGGTGGACCTACATACTCGTGACTAGAAAGAATGACTAGAAGGTAGAACAGGGGAGATATAGCGTTTGGGTTGTACCCACTAAGAACATACCCTATCTAGCCTATAACTTCTACATACCAATATATGTATAAGTTGACAGCAGCATTGTCATGATTGTTGAAGCAAGATCTTTTTCGCTCATTAATCTATATGCTCCATCCGTGTATTGCCTTTCACAACAGCATGGAGAAATGGTGTCCTTGCCAATCAAGAGAAGCTATGTACATGGCAGAGCATACAAGGATGCACATGTAGGAATTTCTAGTCAAGTCCAGTCCACCAACCAGCGTCCTACACCTACAGCCATGCAGCTGGCAAAAGCCTAGTAGTTGGCCAGGCACGATTAAGTAACAGGTGCTTTCGCCAGCAACAATGCAACATTATCAGGTTTAACGCCAGCAGCAGCTTTACATGCCTTTCCTTCCCACCCCTTCCCCTTCCCCTCGCCTCTCCTTTCCTGGCCCTTCTTACCTTCCTCTTCCTCTTCCTCTTCCTCTGCACACCTCCCTTCGTCTATTCCTCTCTTCTCCTATAACTTTCTCACCCTATTTTCCTCTTCCCTCACTCCCTACCCCACTCCCTGCCTCTCTCTCTTCCCCCTCTTCTTTCCCCTCATGCCCTTTCCCACCACATGCCAATCCCCCCCCCCCCCCTTCCCCTTTCACTCACTCCCTGTGCTCCCTCCCCCCCTCTTCCCTCCATCCTCTCCCTTCCTCTCTCACACTGTCGTTCTCAAAGGCCTGGCAGCATCGGCAGGCACTGTCAGTGCTGCTGGCTACAGCTTCTGCTACAGCTGGTGCTGCTACAGCTGCTGGACATACAAGGCTTCCTGCTTGCTGGTGATGCCCAGATCTGCGAGGCTTCTCTGGGCCTCCGATGCCTCAAACACACGGCGAGGAAACTGACGCGCCTGCAGAGGGGAGGGGAGAGGGGAGTGAGGCGAGAGCGAGGAGCGAGAGAAGCAAGAGGAGGGATAGGACACATGAGCCGTGCTCTCTCATCCTGCGAGGAACGAATGAAATGCAAGCACCTTCGGGATAGAAATGATGTACAGCAGAGGGCACCGTTCAACACTAGACAAACACGCAAGGTTTCTTTGCAAAGAAATACCCATACGCCAGTGGAGCATGCATGGGAGTGCAGCATGTGTGGGAGTGAACGTGGCATGTGTGGGAGGGATTGTAGTATGTGTGGGAGGGATCGTAGCATGTGTGGGAGGGATTGTAGCATGTGCGGGAGGGATCGTAGCATGTGTGGGAGGGATTGTAGCATGTGTGGGAGGGATTGTAGCATGTGTGGGAGGGATTGTCGCACGCGTGGGAGGGATCGTAGCATGTGTGGGAGGGATCGTAGCATGTGTGGGAGGGATCGTAGCATGTGTGGGAGGGATCGTAGCATGTGTGGGAGGGATCGTAGCATGTGTTGGAGGGATTGTTTGTAGCATGTGGCAGAGGGATTGTAGCATGTGTGGGAGGGATTATAGCATGTGTGGGAGGGATTGTAGCACGTGTGGGAGGGATCGTAGCATGTGTGGGAGGGATTGTTGCATGTGTGGGAGGGATTGTAGCATGTGTGGGAGGGATCGTAGCATGTATGGGAGGGGTCGTAGCATGTGTGGGAGGGATTGTAGCATGTGTGGGAGGGATTGTAGGATGTGTGGGAGGGATTGTAGCACATGTGGGAGGGAGTGTAGCATGCATGGCACATGTGCCAGTGTTGGCATACAATGGTGTATGTGTTGGCCTTCACTCGCTTGCTCACATCCACGTAGTCAAAGAGAGCCTGCCAAAACAACAGCGCACAAGAGAACAAAGATGCGGGGGGGGGGGGGGGGGGAGCACGGCAAGGGAGGAAGCAGAACCAGCAATGGAGCAGAGAACGAGGGAAAAGTTGAACGCTTTTTCTCTTGAGATTGCTGCGCGACTCGCAAACGCCAGTTGAGTAATAGCATCAAACCCGGAAGTCGAGTGTGCGTGTGATTGTAGAGGTTATTTAATGCCGGGCAGATATCGTCTACGTAACGTCAGAACGCCAACCTAGGAAAAAGCAAGTGTGGGAGACGGTGAGGAGGGGGTTACGAAGGACAGAACAACCGCAACTAAGGAGACAGTGACTGTGATGAAGGAGACAAAGCCGCAACACGTGTAAGCCGTACACACTAGGAAAGATCCGAACCCCCTGGCCAGCTGCATGCTGCCATAAAACAAGCTCTGCCCAACCAACCCATGACCAGCAGGCAGCCAACCCATGAGAAGATGCAGCCAGCAAGATCTGGAAACCGTCAACCCATGAAACCATCTCCACCCCACCCCACCCCACCCCACGCCCCACTATCTGCAGTTTATCAGAGACCAGGAATCGCTACGCACCAAGTACCAGTACCCAGTAATCCCCTTACCTGCAGCTTATCTGTGACCAGGAATCGGCGGCTGAGGCGCGAGCCATCTGGCAGGCGCAGCATGAGAGTGATGCCCCCCTCCTCGCCCACTGCTGGCTCCACAGGCAGCGACGACTCCTTCACTGCCAGCTGCCGCTGCTCCTCCTGCGAGACACGGACAGAGACAGAGAGAGAAGGGAGAGAGGGTTGGAAGCAAAAGAACAGGAGGGAAGATGAAGACGGATTGGCAGAAGAAATCCAGTGTTGAGGGGTTAGGGTACGCAGCAAGCTATGTGTGGCTTGCAGCAATGACTCCTTCACTGCCAGCTGCCGCTGCGCCTCCCGAGAGACACCGACACACACAGAGTCGGCAAGAAAAGGGGGAAAGGAAGAAAAGCACGCGTGCATATGGAGATTTACCAGCAGAGTTGAGAGCGTAGAGTCTGTGCAAGCAGCAGCAAGAGAGCTGCCAGCTGTTTTGAGCTATGAGCTCCTGAGTTTGGACATTACTGCTGCCTTAACTGAAAGCAATCATTCCCCCTTACCTCCTCCTGCTCCTGCTGCCGTCTCAACTCCTCCTGCTGCTGCTGCTGCTCCTCCTCCTGCCTCTGCCGCTCCTCCTCCTCCTTCCTCCGTGCTGCCTCCTCCTTCTCCTGGTCTGCCAACAGCGACTTGAAATACTCCTCGTCCTGATGGCGGGTGGAGGGCAACGGACGAGGGAAGGTAGGGGATGTGGGAAGGTAGGGGATGTGGGAAGGTAGGGGATGTGGGAGGGTAGGGGATGTGGGAGGGTAGGGGATGTGGGAGGGTAGGGGATGTGGGAGAAGCGGAGACGTGAAAGGATGGACACGAGGGTAGGCGGGATCTACGTGACCGCAAACGCGTTTAGCGTTTTAAACGAAGCGTTTAACGCTAGCGTTTAAAAGCTAAACGCTCTTGCTTGAGTTTTTTAACGCTAGAGTAAACGCACGCCCGGGCAGCCTTAAAATTTCCCCCGACAGGGTATTAAAACCTGGGATAGGTAGGGGGAGGAAAGGGGATTATGGTATACAACATTTTGACTCCAAATGGTTTCACATAAAAAAGTTTTGCCACGTCAAATCCACATGTCAACGACTCGTAAATATTAGACGCTGCAGACGCTGTAGGATTAGCGTCTGCAGCATTAGGGGGGGTCGACATGGGCGTGGGCCCTTGACTTAGCCCGAAATTAGGTGGCCAGAGTGGGTGGGAGATGAGAGAATAACGACTAGATCTGAACTTCGGCTATGGCGCGCGGAACTCTAGGGTTCCCACTTTTTACGTTGAAGAGATTGTGATGGAAGGAGGGGAGAAAGTGGTTAGGTTGGAGTGAAAGTCGTAGATGAACAGGGTGCTGTGCGGTTGAGTGGGGCAAAAGAGTTGGATGCGTTTTTTGGTCGCTAGGTTGGGATTTGAGACTTGGCGAATGTCTAGTTGAATTCGCCAGGTCGCAATGTCGCGGAAAAAAACGGATGGAATTTTTAGCTGGGCTACCCCTAAAATTTTACCTGAGCGTTTTGCGTTTTGCGTTTAAACGCTAAACGCTGCCCCGCCAGAGCGTTTGCGGTCACGTAGGGCGGGATGTGGCGGTGTAGGTAGGGGATGAGCGTGGCTATCTGACCGAGCCTCACACTTCGCCCTCTCACCTGCTCCTGCCTCAGCAGCCTTTCTTCCACCATGCGGGGCGACGGTGGCTGTGCCGCCTTCCCCCTCACCCCGTAGCTGTCTGCTCTCAACCCACACCTGTTTTCCCCCACCCCACACACATATCTCTGCCACCCCCTGTCCCACCTCATCCCATTCTCGCCCTCTCACCTGCTCCTGCCTCAGCAGCCTCTCTTCCACCATGCGGGGCGACGGTGGCCGTGCCGCCTGCTGCTGCTGCCTCTGCTGCCTCCGCCACTCCCTCGCCCACGGCCCCAAACCCTCCTCATCCTCCTCCTCCTCTTCCTCCTCCTCCCCTTCCTCCCCCCCAACCTCTCCCTCTCCCCCCCCACCACTCCCCCCTCGTCCATACCTCCCTCCGAAACCCACGCTTCTCATCGGACCTTCCCCCCCAATCCCCCCCACACCCCGGAACTGCCGCCAGGAGGGCGGTCTGTGGGGGAATTGGGAGCTGCCAGAAACATAGGCTGAGCCATAGGGGGCGTCAGCAGCAGCAGCGACAGCAGCAGCCGCAGAAGCATCAGCCGCAAAGGCAGCGGAGGCGGAAAGGGAGGGGTGCATGGCTGTGCCTGTGGCAACACTGCCAGCACCAGCAGCAGCAGCGGCAGCAGCGAGGGCAGGGTCATGGTCTGGGAGGGGAGTGCCGAACATGATTGCCTCCATAATGCGAGCTTCCTCCTGCTCTGCGTGCGACAGGCCCTGGACGAGTGGGGAGTGGAGGGGGGTAAGGGAGAAATACCGTGAGAAAAGCGCGGAAGGAGCGGGGGGGGGGGGGAAGAGAGATTTTGGCAACAAGGTGAGTTGTGAGTAATTAGAAAAACAGGGAGTTTGAGAGTTGTTCACTGGACCCATTCCATGAGGCGAACCTTGTCCTGCTCTGCATAGGACAGACCTGGAGGCGAGAGAAGAGGGCTCAGAGGGAGGGACGCAGAGGGGATGGAGATAGAGAGGAGTTGGTTTATGAGGATTCTCAGAAACCAACCTGGGTGCCATGCGAAAATCCACACTCACCCCCAAATGATCATGAGCAGCACCGGATGCTCCACCAGCAGCAGCAGCAGCAGCAGCAGCAGCAACAGCAGCACCAATATCACCAGCACCATTGGCAGCAGCAGCTCTCTCAGCAGCAGACGCCTCTTCCACCGCCCGCATCACCGCTGCTACCTCCTCCTCACTCATCCCACTCACATCCATCCCTCCTCCTGCCACGGCAACGCCCTCTCCCACCATCCCTGCTGTCCCCTCCGTGCCCTCCCCTGTCGCTGCTCCCCCTTCAACAGCCCGTGAAGCCCCACCCTTCCCACTTAGCCCGGCCTCCGCTGTCGCCCCTGCATCTGCTGCGTCCCCTGCTCCTGATTGCCAAGAAGGCCTGAAAGACCCCCTGCCACTGCAAACCCCCCTGCCGCTGCCAATGTCACTGGGAAAGCCTCCAAAACGAGCGGTACCAGCAGCAGCGCCGCCACCAGCAGCAGCAGCAGAAGTAGCACCTAAACGGCCCTCACTTGTCTCTTTGCCCCCTTCCCCACACCCGTCGGCCGGTTGGTACGGATGGTACACGTGGCGCCGCATGAGTGGCTGCACAGGTTCCTCCTCCTCTTCCTCCTCATCCGCCTCATACCCACCACCACCACGCTGCCTGCCCTCGGATGGAAAACGTGCCTCGTTCCACGAGGAAGGTACTGCTGATGCTGCTCCTGCCACTGCTGCTGCTGCTTCTGGTGCTGGCGATGGCACAGAGAACGAGGTATGAAAGGGTGCAGTCGATTCCGCAGTATTCCTGACATGGAGACGCATGTACAAAAGAAGAAAAAGAAGAAGAAAAAGCATAGACTGAATTGGGAAGATTGGATGTGAGGAGGGTAGAGAGTGCAGAGGGAGGTGAAGAGAAGGATAGGAAGCCACATGACAAAAGGTAAGAAAAAAGAGAACCAAGAAGAGAAGTGCACCTAACCCTTGCCCTACTTGCCTCCCGTGCCTCCTTGCTTTCTGCCTCCCTTGTCCCTTTGCGTTCTGTACCCCTTGCTTCTACCCCCTTCTCTTACTCGCCCCCAAGCCTCCCCACTCACCCCTCAGCACCGCTCTGTTGACTGCCTGCCACGGCCTGCCCCCTCGACGCTGCTTCCTCCTCAGCCGTCTGAAGTCAATGGGGAGGTGTGGATGGAGAAAGGCGGGGAGGGGAGATGAAAAGGGAAGCAGTAAGGGGGACGGGGGGAGGTAGGCGGGGTGGGTAGGCAGGTGGAAAGAGCATTCAGCAAAAGCTGCTTCTGAGGGGCCTCAAAAGCAATTGCTCTTAAAGCCCGCACTTCGAATTTCCCACCATCCAAGCGTACTGCATATGGTCTGGTTGGCGAGCCTGATTGGTGTGCAAGGTGGGAAAATTCAGGGTGGAAACGACGCGGGTGGCGAGCCGTATTACGGTGAATCTGGGCCTTCGAAACGCAGAGGGCGTGGAGGACGGGGTTGGCATGGTGGATGGTATATCTGGAATAGGAGCCGGGTAGGCTGTAGCGGTATATCTACTGCTAATCCTTGCTGGGGATGGGATGGGATGGGATGGGATGGCATGGGATGGGATGGGATGGGATGGGATGGGATGGGATGGGATGGGATGGGATGGGATGGGATGGCATGGGAGGATAGGTGAGGAGAGTGATTCGAAAGTACCTTGATGGAGAGCAAGGTGGAAAAATACGGTTTTCGTATTATACAGTCCGTTTTATACGGCAAAAAAAAAAAAATACGACCGTTTTTTAAATAGACATTTTTGGGCACCTAAAAAAAAAAAAACTTCGGAAACAGGTTACATCGTGGCTACGATGGTTTACTCAGGGCTAAGGGGGCTAACAAACAGTTCTACAGGTACGTGTGTTGAATCTTTGTCCTCCTCCTCCTCTGAAGCGTCTTCCCCCCCACTATCACCCTCACCACCGTCTCAAAACATTAACAACACTCACAAATGAAGAACCACGGTGCATCCGAAAGTGATTACAATTTAATTACAATTTTTTTTTTCCCAGGTTTTGGCTGGTTAAAAAAATACGACCGTATTATACGACCGTTTTTTTGCACCAACCCAAAAACGCACTTCAGGACCGTTTTAAACGGCCGAATAAAACGATTCCGTATTATACGGTGAAAAAAAAAAAAAAAAAAAAAAAAAAAGTCCCTTTTTTTGCACCTTGATAGAGAGTGCGATGGCGCGCATGACGTCGTCGTCCTCATCCTGCTCCAGATCCATCGGCGTTGCTGACGACGGAGGGACCTGAGGCGAGGACGGGGGGACATGGGGGGTGGAGTGAAGGGAGGGGAAGCGAGGCAAGGCTAGGCCGGAGTGCTTTAGGACGTCTAAAGAACATGGGGACAAGGGCGAGGGAGGAGTGAAAGAGGCGGGAGGCGGAATGAGAGGGAGGGAGTGGCGAGAGGAGGGGGAGCGGGAAGAGGGGTGGGGGGGTGGGGGTGTGGGGGGAGTAGGGGGGAAGAGGGGGTGTTGCATTGCAGGGAATGACGGCACACGAAGCAGTGGTTCGCTGGGGAATGAATGAACGCGCAGATCTCACGTGGGAGACGCAGGGCGTTAGCAATCAAATTTCGTTCTCATCAGAAGAACACGCACACACTCCCCCCCTCCCCCACAAGCCTCCTCAAGGCCCCACAAACATTCACGGTCCCCCACAAGCCCCACGCCCCACAACCCCCCAGACGGCCCCACAACCCCCCACAACCCCCCACAACCACCCACAAGCCGCCACGAACATTCACAGGCGGGCACAGGCCAAAGGCACGAAGGGAATCAAACCTAGCAAGAGACTCACCATAGGTCCATATCCTGTTCCAGCTGCATCTCCATCACCCACCCCTGCTGCTGCTCCCATCCCTCTCCCTGCTCCTCCCATCCCTGCTGCTGCTCCACCTGCTGGACCCACCACCGCCTCCCCCACCCAGGGCTCCTGAACAAACACCCCCCCCTCCTCGACTCCCCTCCCGTCACACCCTGACCCGCTCTCCCTACTCCTCGCCCCATCCCCTCAGCAGCACCAGCACCAGCACCCAGCGCAGCAGCACCAGCACCAGCACCATCATCATCCTCCACCTCCTCGATACGCACCCCACTTTGCCCCCACTGCTGCTGCCCCTGCTGCTGAGAAGAAAACCCAAAGCGGCCAGTCCCAGCCCCGGCCCTACTCCCATATTCACTATCAAATGCCACACCCGAGCCTGCTCCCCCAGACCCAGCCCCAGCCCCAGCCCCTTCCCCAAACCCCACCCCACCGCCCGCCCCAAACCCTAAGCCCCTGCCTAAACCCCTCTGATCACCGCTCGCGTAACCCCTGCCGGTGCTGCCGTTACCGTTACTCGCAGCGTCATCCCACTGGATCGGGATGTCCCGAACCTCCCGAGGTTCGGAAACGATAGGTCCGGAAGAAGGGGCGCGAGCAGCGGGGGCACGGGATGTGGGCATGAGGCGATCGAAGGCAGAGCCTGTCATAAATGACCGCATGGGGACCAACTCCTGCTCCTCCTGCTGCATCCCTGCTAGCCCCCTCATCTCCTCTCCACCCAGATGCTGCCGATGGAAGGTGTGAGGGCGGGCGGCGGCGGTAGCAGGAGGGTCGTTGGTAAGGTCAATGGCATCAGTGATGCTGGAGAGAGAGGGGAAGGGTAGACCGGATAGGGGCACAAGTCAGGGCACACGGAAAAAGGGGACAGAGAAGGAGAAAGGGGTTGAGGGGAGCAAGAGAGGAAGGATGCGCATGGGGAGATCAAAGCAAAACAATAATTGATACTAAGTAATACGACACGAAAGAGGATATAACGAGGAAGTCCAGCAAAACCTGGAGGCATGCATGCATGCATCCGTGCACGCATCAACAAAGAGGCACGTGAGTTGATGCAAGTGAAATCCGCCCACGAGCATATGCGGTAGTGAATAAAGATCCTGCTTGCCGGCATGCTGCGTTGCCAAACGCTCTTCGTGTGAATGTACACGCGTAGGGGATGAAGCGTGCTTGCAAAAAAGCCAAGTGTACAGAAGGCCGGCACATGGAAGCAAGTATACGGTCACGCAGACGCACGCGCACGCGTGACCCAACCAAACAGGATCCTGGGGACAAGAGAAGCGAGCATGAACCGGCAGGCGGCAGGGCGGACCAAGGGGCCACAGTGCAAGAAACAGAAGGAGAGGTAGAAAATGGAAATTACCCGTTCCCAGCTCCAACCCCTTCCGCTCCATGCTCCAGAAAAAAATTCACTGCTAGCTGGAGATCCCAGTTGTGCGCCTGTAACGAGACAGCGCATACAGTGGATAGGAGCCAGAGAGGGAAAGCAACGGGGGAAACATGAGTCATGTGCGATGAGGCGTGGAGCAAGAGGGGTCGACGGTCGACGGGGTAAAAAAAAACAAACAAAAAAAACAAAAACAAAAAAGGGTAGGGGTGGGGTGGGGGGATAACGTTAGGCATGAATCGGATGTAAGCGAGTGCGAGAAACGCGCGAAGAGAGACTGAATCGAATAAGCAGAGAGCGCGGGGAGCGATATTCGGGACAGCGGCATGAGCAATGGGCTAGACAGTGGGAAGAGACGCGGGAAGGAGAAGAGGGGGAGGAGAAGACGAGACGAAGAGACAGGCCCGTGAGAGGAGCCGATGCGAGCACCTCGAGTAGTTCCCGCGCCACGTGTTCCGGCTGTGCCGTGATGGCGACGAATTCGCCCACGATCTCCGGGCTCTCCATCCCTCGCTGCGACCAACGCGACGCTGGCGACGGAATCCGCGACGCTGGCGATGGATTCGGCGATAGAAGTGATGACGATAGATGGTTGCGGCAATAATTGGTGGTTGTATTTACAGCGATCCAGACACAGCGAATTCAGCCAGTCGCACGGCCGGGCAACTCACGAAAAGCGCGGAGTTAGGGACCAGATGGGAAAAAACCGGATGGGCCGAGTTACCGGCCGATCTAAAATGGCTGTAAAAGATAGAGAGGAAGAGGACGAGACAGCGAACGGCGACGCGGCGACGTCGATCTGATGGCGAGTGTGTCGCGGCAAGGCGGAGGCGATTTTTTAGAATTCTAAAAAATTCCCTGCAAACTCGAGGACGAGGAAGAGACAGCGATCGGCGACGCGGCGACGTAGATCTGATGGCGGGTGTGACGCGGCAAGGCTGGGGCGATCAGCACAAGGCAGAGATTGACCAGCTGTCGGAACGGGATGGCGATGGCGATAACTAACCCTCGATTCCTCGAATGCAAGGTCTACCCGAGAGAAAAGCAGGGTCCGAGGCTCGGATGATGAGCCGGATGGCAGAGGGGAGAAAAAGGTGAGTAGGAGCAGCAGCAGCTGGAGATGATTGGCGCGGTCAAGCCAAGAGGGGAGGCATGTGGTGGTGCAGTAGTGCAGTTGCGTGAGGTGGGTGACTTGTGTCTTGTGGGGTTGGTCACGAGTCATGAGTCATCCATGATTCCTGTGTTTCCTTCCTTTCCTCAGCTACTCTCAAGCTCTCCACCTCCACGCCGTTCTGCTGAACCCACATGGTCACTGCTTGCCAGTTTTCTCGAATAAATACACTTCAAACCACGACTACAATATGCTGGTGTAAAGCAGTATTGGAAATTGTGGAGGTTGATTAGCTAGCATCACTCCACATGAACGTGCTAATGTAATAATTTTCAATAATCAAAGCACCCATGACGTAACTGTACCGTTTATCATGCATGCATGCACTTCAACGTGTGGTATATATTCATGACACCCAACATGCACATCAACCCCTACAACATGCATCGTCATGCATGTCAATATATCTATATATTGTTATAGGCTACATAGGTGCATGCTTATAGAGAGTACAGCACCATAGCACAAAACCTGCCTGTATGCCTCATTCTAATCATTGCGTTATTCTGAAATGGTATCACGCTAGGTTATGTCTGTCAAACTTACAAACATATATTGTATGTTACAGTAGATTATATAGGGTTGTGCCTTAGGGAGTACAACCCATTAGGCTATATACCCCTGTATGTCCTGTTCTAGTTAACTTTTCTCACTTTAACATGGTATCACGAGTAGGTAGGTCCCCCCTCCCTCCCCTCCCCCCTAAGCGCTTCCGCCCTAGGTCCTAGCCGCCCCGCTCGTGCTGGCCCGTCTCCTAGCCAGCCCCGTCGCCTCGCTGGCCCTGTCGCCCAGCATGCCCCCCCGCCCAATCAGTCCAGTCGGCCCTGTCGGCCCCGCCTCCTAGCTGGCCCCGCCGCCCCATCGGCCCTGCCTCATAGCTGACCCCGCCGCCTAATTGGCCTTGCCTCCTAGCTGGCCCCGCCGCCCAATCGGCCCGGTCGGCCCCGTCGGCCTCGCCTCCTAGCTGGCCCCGCTGCCCCATTGGCCCCGTCTGCCCCGCCTCCTAGCCGACCCCGCCGCCTCATCGGCCCCGTCGGCCCGTCTCCTAGCTGGCCCCGCCGCCCCATCGGCCCAATCGTACCCGTCGGCCCCGCCTCCTAGTTGGCCCCGCCGCCCCATCGGCCCTGTCGGGCCCGCCTCCTAGGAGACCCCGCCGCCTAATCGGCCCCATTGGCCCCACCTCCTAGCTAGCCCCGCCGCCTAATCCGCCCAGTCGGCCCCGCCCCCCAGCTGGCCCTGCCGCCCCATCGGCCCTGTCGGCCTCGCCTCCTAGCTGGCTCCGCCGCCTCATCGGCCCCGACGGCCCCGCCTCCTAGCTAGCCCCGCCGCCCAATCGGACTCGTCGGCTTCGCCTCTTCGCTGGCCCCGCCGCCCATAGCCGACCCCGACGCCTAGCCGGCCCTGTCCCCCTGCTGGCCCCATCGCCTTGCCGCTCGCGGCTCCGTCTCCTAGCTGCCTCGCCGCCGTCCTCGGCCCTCTGCACCGCGCTGCACCGCCCGGTACCGCTCTGCACCACACTATACCACATTGCACCGCCCTGCACCGCACACAACTGTACCGCACCTTCCTCTACCGCACAGTACCGCACTGCACCGCACATCACTGCCTTCCTGCCCTTACTGCCCCGTACTGCCCTTCTCCTGCTGCTGCAACCATGATGGCGGACTCAATCGGCTGCTCCAACGCCATCTGACAGGTCAGCGGCAGGACGGCCACTCCCTGGCTGTCCACATCGACAGTACGCTCCCCTGTCTGGACCCCCCTGCTACCCTCCCCGCTGTCCCCACCTCCGCTGACCGTGAGTCCGCCGCAGCTGCTGCCCTTGCTCGTGCTGTCTGGTTGTCGCGTGACGCTGTCGCTCAGCTTGCGATTAGTCATGCCCTTCCCCTGTCCGAGCGCCCCCGCTTTAGGTCACTCAGGGGTGCGCAGGAGTTTCTAGAGGCTGTTGTTGCGTGCTATTCAACCCCGCCCTCTGCCTCTGTAGGTCGCCTGATCCTGCCCATGCTCTTTCCTGACCTTCCGTCTTTCCCCACTGTCGCTGACCTAGCCGCCCACCTGCGCACCATAAACACGACCTGGCGCGCTGCCTGCACTTAGGCCCAGCTTCATGTGTTTCAGCCCCCCATCTGCGCTACCCTCTACTTGCTTGCCACCCGCCTCCCTCACCGCCTTGCCACCGCCCGCGATCACTTCCTTAGTCTCCACCTCGCTGACCTTACCCTCACTGACTTTGTCGACACCCTGTCAGCCATAGAGACCCGTCAGCGCTCTATCGCCCAGTCTAGCGGTACCGTGCCAGTCTCTATCTTTCAAGGTTGTGCCCCTGCTAAGTGCTCTTATTCTGACGGTTCTACTGCGGTTGCTGAGACGGCTCCGGCTGCGGAGACCGCCGCCGCCGTGCGGTTTCGTCCAGGTAAGGGTCGCCGCCCCAAGGCTGGGCGCGGCGGAGGTAGCGGAGGAGGGGGTGGTGACGGTGGTGGAGGTGACTTGCCTACTGGTAGTCCTGACGAGGGGGCTGGGGTTGGTGCCCTGGCGCAGAAGCAGCAGCAGGCGCCACAGCTGGACCAGCAGCAGCAGCAGCCGTAGGTGTAGCAGCAGCAGCGGCGGGTCGGTCGTCTCCGTCCGGGTGGCCTGGATTTGGAGGTGGTAGCAGTGGTCGCTCGCGCGGTGTGCCGTCAGGTGGTGGTCAGAGTGACGGGCGCTGCCAGTACCAGCTCCAGACTGGTCCTCTCGTCTGCGGTAAGCTCAGCCATACCCCCGCTCATTGCTTTTGTTGCCTAGACGACCTGTTTCGTCTCCGCTTCGGCCCGTCGCCTGACCTCCTCAACTGGCACAGTCTGCTCCGTCGTCGTGTTCAGATCTTTGATATGGATATGGATGAGATTAGCTCTACTTTGTACTGGTTGCTGCTACGTCAGGCGTAGGATCCCCTGCCTTCTTTAGCCTAGGGTCCACCCTTGCTCCTACGACCTCTGTCGCCGCTGCCACGCTCTCCTTCACCCTGGACTCTGGCGCTTCCCGATGTTTCTTTCGCGACTCCACTACGCTTACATCGCTTGCCGCTCCGGCTGCAGTTGCTCTTGCAACCCCTTCCTCCGGTCCTGTAGTTGCCTGTAGCTTCACTACTCTCCCCTCTCCGACGGTTCCCTCAGGCTCCCTTACAGGCCTGCACATCCCCTCGTTCTCTAGGAACCTAGTTGGTGTCGGCTGCCTCCAGGACCTTAGCGTCACCACTACGTTCCCTGGGCATGAGCGGTACGCTGTCTGTACTGAGGCCGCCACTGGTGCCCCCCTCATCACGTTGCATGCTACGCTTGCTGACCTGCAGTTCTTCCCGTCGTCTGCATACCCCTCGCTCTTCGTCCGTTCTTTCACACCTGCACTGACCTAGGAGAGTTGTGCCGCTACCTTGGCTTGTAGATCTCCAGGGACAGAGCAGCGCACACCATCACTCTCTCATAGTCACACTTGGTGCACCTGGTCCTTTTAAGATTCGGCCTTCAATTCTCTTCCGCATAGCCCACCCCTCTGCCAGTAGACCACAGACTCTCTGCCTCAGTCCAAGAGGAGGCTGTAGAGCCTAGTGGTCCCTACGCAGAGCTGGTGGGTTGCCTCATGTACCTGATGACGTGCAATTGTCTAGATCTCGCATACCCTCTCAGCATCCTGGCTCGCTTTGTGGCCCCAGGCAGACATCGACCACAGCACTGGTCGGCAGCTAAGAGGGTTTTGCGTTATCTAGTAAGAACATCTGGCATGGGGCTAGTGCTAGGAGGACGGAGACCAGTGGTCCTTACCGGGCACACATACGCTTCTTGGGCAGACGACGCCGAGACTCTCAGGTCCTCACAGGGCTACTCCTTTAGCCTTGGTGCAGGTGCCATCTCGTGGAGGTCCACCCGCTCCTCATCTGTTGCTGGCCCCTGTTCCTGCCGGCCCTAGCTTCCCACGGTCTCGGCTTGCCACCGTGACGCTGTGCCGCGGTGCCGCCGTACCGCCGTGTCGCTGCGCCGCCGTGCCACCACGTTGCCATGTCCCCGTGTCGCCGTGTCGCCGTGCTGCTGTGCCACCGTGCCGCCGTGTTGCCGTGCCGCCGTGTCGATGTGCCGTCATCAGCTGCTGCAGCCGTGGCGATGGCGGACGCTGTGCTCTGCCTGGACGCGGAGTATCGGGCGATTGACTTTGAGGCATGGCTCACCAACCTTCGCCGCTCGCTGAGGGGACAGAGCCAGGATGGCCAGTCTCTGGGCGTCCACGTCAACGGTAAGATCCTATTCCCCGGCCCGCCTGCTGCCCTCTCAGACCCCCCCATGCCCGCTGAGCGTGAGGCCTTTGCAGCTACTGAGCTCGCCCGCTATGTCTGGGAGTCGCAAGACGCTACCTTGCTGCTCGCTATCAGTCGCGCCCTCCCCCTGTCTGAGCGCCCCTGCTACCAAGCCATGGAGACTGAGAATGAGTACTTGGATGCCATCATTGCGCGCTATTCCTCTCCCTCCTCCACCTCTGCCAGCCGTCTTCTTCTCCCCCTGCTCTTCCCTGACCTTGCGTTCTTTCCCACTGTCACTGGTCTTGCCACTTACCTACACGCGTTAGAGGCTAGCTACCGCCTTGCTAGTACTGAGGCTCAGCTCCTTGTACTGCCTCCCCCCCTCGGCGCTACCCTCTACTTCCTTACCACGCCCCTTCCTGACCGCCTAGCCGTTGCCCGCGACCTCTTCCTTGACCTCTGTCATTGTTGCTGAGACGGCCTCTGCTTCTGAGACCGCTACGGCGGCCGTAGCCCAGTCTTGTCAGGGTAGGGGACGCTGGGCCCAGGGGGGGGGTGGTGGTGGGAGGGGTGGCGAGGATGGCGGGGTTGACAGAGGGGGCAACAGTGGTGGAGGGGACGGTGGTGCAGACAAAGGGACCAGGGCTGGTGCCCCAACGCAGCAGCAGGAGCAGCAGCAG